CAGCCGTATGCCACTCATAGGCTGACCGTGTGGCTCTTAGTTACCGCCTCACTTTGGGGCCTCGGGATTGTCCTTCCTTTCATATAAACCCAGCTGCCTACGTGAGAAGATGTTTGCTTCCCTGGCGATCCTGCGTGCACTGTTCTCGGGACGGGGAGCGTGGGTTTCCAGTGCTGTCGCACGACCTCGCCAGACACAGGAGTGCGCTCTGGCCTCCGTGCTGGTTCTACAACCGTTTTAACACGGAGCCGTTTTCTCCCAAAGGAGCTGGAGCAGTTGGCTAAAGAGCAAGACAAGGAGTCGGAGAAGCAGGCCCTGCTCCAGGAGGTGGAGAACCACAGGAAGCAGATGCTCAGGTGGGCGGGGCCTCTGCTGGGTCCTTCGCTTCTGGGAGGGGGAGACGGGGCTGCCTAGTAAACCTGAGTTTAATGACTTCATCGTGTCATTTACACACAGACTCAGTGTTCTCTCTAGATCGGTAATTCTCCATGGGACGAGCAGGGGCTTTGGGGTAGGGGGATCTGGGCATAGTTTACTAAAGCATATTTAATGTTACACTGTATTTTATATTTTTAAAACAGAGCCAAAAAGATGGTTGCTATTGTAATTCAGGTTCCTTTTATCTAAAGAGAGTTGGTATTACACAAAGACCACTCAAAGTGAATCTATTTAAGATGGATCAAAATTTAGAAAATTTTGAATGGTACTTTATCTGCAAAAAATGAAACAAAAAATGGAAATAAGCTATGTTAAAAAAAAAGTTGGAGCGTTTGCAGCCGTGTGCTGATACTTGATTAACGTAATCCGTTGTGCTGTTTCTTAGTATTGAATTGGGGGACTTTTCCAACAACATTGTCCGACGTCATGAACTAGTACCTGTCCCTTCACATTTGACTTTTTGTGCCATAAAGATAAGAGAGTTTTTATTGCGCAAGTATCCGAGGGCCCATCAGCATCCCCAGCCCTCCAGTAGCCAAGTCGTTCTTTTTTAAAGTCCCTGCTTGGCCACCCTCCTCCTAGGCGTCCTCTTCGCCCTCGTTAACTGGCCGAACTCTGCCACATCCGTGTTTGTCTGTGGCTTTGCTTCTGATTTGAGTAACGCCCCAGCCTCTTCCCACCTGACAGCAGCTGCGTTTGTGACACCCAGCGATCGGAGGGAGACGGACTAACAGACGGGGTGGAGGCCAGCATCAGTAGTAGGGAGGGATGTGAGTGGCCGTCGGCGCTGGGGCACTCGGCTCAGTAGTGATACTTTGTGTCATGATGACTTTTGCTTCCCGCGGCCACCAAGGGAACTCAGATTATAAACACTGAGTAAAGAGGACCCCCTCCCTGTGTATGGTGAGCCATGTCGGACAGTCAGCTCAGCGTGGGTTTAGAGTTGAGCGTGGCCGTGATCACGCCGTGGGTGGCGTTCGGGGTAGAGGGGAGGAAGCGGTAAAGTTGGACTTCGGCGATGCGTATGGAAGCGGCAGTTGTGCTTGCCTGGGTCCCCGTGCTTGTCACACCCAACAGTGACTATCTGCTTGCTTGTCTTCCTTCCGGAGAAACGTGGGCCCCTTGAGGGCAGCCACTGTCGCTCCTTACCTCTGCATGGCAAGGCTCAGCAGAACTCCCTTGCGAACAGTTTGAAAATGTAACGGATTCTTTTTAAATGTCGGGTGTGAGATGGTGTAGCAGCTGCCGTTCGGGCGTCAGAGAGCTCATCTGAAGACTTTCAACATAGGGGTGCTGTTAAAAACCACCCTGTCAGTTCACGTACTGTACGTTTGACTTTTTACAAATTTCTGGGCTTAGCGCAGTGGGTAGGAGCCAGTTGTAAGAGTTCTAGGGCGTGAGTTTGAGTCTCCGAGGGACCCAGGTACCTTTTTATAGCCATCAACACAGGCTGCACGGCCAACTCCAGGGAGCTGCTCACCAAATGGGACTTGTCTGTCACGCGGAGAGCGGGCAAAGAATGTAAATAAAACAGGTCGAACCCGGCCCTGCTGATGCAGTGTGTTTGTGTTGTCCATCATTTGTCTGTGGCGTGTACAGGACAGCAGCCTTTGAAGAAATAGCGAAGCGCACTGTCTTTATGATTTTTTTACTTCTTACAGCATATGCTGACTGAACAACTAATGGGCCAGAAAGTGTCCTAGGTACTGGTGATGGAAAGATGGGTGAGACATGGTTCTTCTGGAACAGGAGCAAGGAGTACACAGGGCAGAGCAGTGAAGTGTGAGGGAGGTGGACAGAACCGGCCTCGTGTGCTCAGCTGCGGAGTTGGAGGTTCCGCTGAAATCTGGAGCCTCTCTGGGCTGTAGACAGCCACGCCATGGCCAGATGGCTCCCTCTCGCTGCCCCGGGAGAAAGGGACAGTTGCGGGCAGTAGGAGATCGTCCCGGGGTGGCCAGGGTCCAGATGAGAGGTGCTGGGGCAACCAAGAGGAAGAGGCGGCGGGAGGTGGGGATGGACTCTGCCGGCCACCCCTGGGTGCCCTTCCCTGTCACTCCCTGCCTGGAGGAAGAGCTGCTGTGACGTGAGCTGACTGTCAGCCTGGTGCCGTCAACAGAAACTCACACGTGACCCTTCTGATTCCAGCAATCAGACCTGCTGGAGGAAAGCGAATCTCACTTGCAAAATCGCTATCGACAACCTAGAGAAAGCAGAACTTCTCCAGGGAGGAGACCTCTTAAGGCAAAGGTATCTCTCCCTGTCACAGAAGGTCGCAGTGGTGCGCGTCCCCACTCGCAGTCTTCGAGACATCGGCATTGACTGAACATTTAAAAAAATATGTACTAATTTCATAGATTAAAAAATGGGACCCCTTTGCATGTGGGCTTTCTCGTAGCCAGGCTTTTGTTCACGTCCCTCCTCCCACTCTGGACTTATAGGAAAACCACCAAAGAGAGCCTGGCCCAGACATCCAGCACCATCACGGAGAGCCTCATGGGGATCAGCAGGATGATGGCCCAGCAGGTGCAGCAGAGCGAGGAGGCCATGCAGACACTAGGTAAAGCTGGGCCTGGAGCGGGGAGCTGGGCCCGGGGACGCCGGCTCCTCCACCCCCTGACTTGTGTGGCTTCTCACTCTGTGACAGTGCCGCTCTTATTTCTCTTGTTGGTTTTTATAGTTGTACGTCCCCATTGAAACGTTCCCCAGCAGAAGCCCTCCCAGGGGCTCGTGTGAAAAGCAGAGATCCCCAGGCCCTCTCCTGCAGAGCGGGTGCCAGCAGGGCCAGGCAAGGGGCCTGGGATCTCTCTTGGGACCCACAGGGCCAGGCCACTTTGGGGATCAGTGCTTGGAGAAATGGTTAGTGTGCCGGCCACCTGCTTGTCGGCTCGGACTTCAGCTTAGTCATACTCCCCAGTGTCATTTTCACTGTGAGCTCCTTTTAAAAGATGTGGTCAGAGGCCACAGAAGCAGGAGCTTGAGACCATCTGGTTCTCTCCAGCAGCTTTCGTCTGGCGGCTCCTTTGCCATGCAGAAGAGAATCGGCCCTCCCCTCTGTGCAGGAAACAGAAGAAGAGTTTACTTTTCGAGACACTGTTGGAAGATTTCACACAGGGACAGAGTAGAGTGCATGAAGCCATCACCCAGCTGCAACAGTTGTCAGCTCGCGGCCAATCTCGTTTCAACTCTGTCCTCACCGTGCCCCCATCCGGATGAATTTAAGGCAAATCCTAGACATCAGCCACAGATATCTCAGTATATCTGTCTCTAAAAGACTCTTGAAACAAAAAAGAAACAAAAGAAAAACCAAAACCACAATACCATTATCTCCCCTAAAAATTATCTGTAATTTCAAACCCCCTTTTTTTTCAGTGCACTATTCAAACAGGCCAAAGAAAAGGGAAAGCAAGTAGTTTGTCCCCAAGGTCACCTGTGTTTGAAACTTATCTGGGCACTTAGTCTCAGGCCAGCTGGTCCCCTCATCTAAGAGCACGCTGGGGGCATGGCCTGAACCTGGGAGAGCCTGGGAGAATGTGAGAAAGGGGACATCCGGCCTTTGAATCAAGGGCTTTTCTGCTCGATGCAGGTGACAGGCACCTTGCCCCCAACACATATATCAGAAGCAGACGATGTACTTACGTAGTGGGAAGGGAGCACAGAAGCTGATGTGTTCTGGGGTTCTGAGGACTGCTCTTGGGGCACATTTTCTAATCATTTCCTTATGGCTCACAAATTCAGCTTGATTTAAAAGCCTGGTAGGGCCACAGTTTTTTTTTTAAACAGCCTATTAGGGATATGATGCCTGGAATTTGCTGCAAAGTCGTGGGATGGGGGACTTGCGTGGGGGTCGCAAGGGGCCAGGGTTGCTGGGCATTGGTGGTTCTCGGCTAGGGGTGATGGGCACCTGGCATTTCATGGTACTATTCTGTCTACTTTCGTGATGGTTTAAAATTTTCTATGAAGAAGGTTTAAAAAGAAAGGCCTATTGGGTTTTTACTTACCAGGTTCTTACTCGGTTTTTGAAATGCAGAGGCACGGAGAAGATGGCTGAGAGGGATTTTTGTTGTCAGTGTTCGTTTGTTTTTCCCCCTTATCTATCCTTTTTGGAATACTTCTCTGTTTCTTCTAGTAATTTCTTTATTTAATAACTTTTCATCTTGTGAAAAGGTAATATAAATTACATGGTTAAGGAAAAAACCTCTAGGCCAGCACCGTCTAATAGAAATATCATATAAGCCACATATGTAACTTTCAGTTTTCCAGGAGGCACGTCAAAAACAGTAAAAAGAAACATGAAATCAATTTTAATAATGTATTTTATTTAACCCATCGTATGTAAAATATTACCATTTCAATATGTAATTAATATTAAAGCTATTGAGATATTTTACGTTCCTTTTTTCTTCGTACTAAGTCTTTGGAACCGCGTGGGTATTTTATACTCAGACGCATCGCAGTTGGATTGGCCACATTCTACGTGCTCAGCGCCACACGGGGCCAGATGGCCCTAGACGATACGGGAGGGAAACAGAAGCACAGCCCCCACCCCGACCACCCTGACCTCCAGGTCTGCTCCCCAGGGGCCACCACTGTCACCAGATTCTTTTACGTCCTCTGAGAGCCTCCAGGCATGCGTGGCACTAATGAATTAAATTTCATTTATCCCCCCTTTCTTACAAAAGCGAAACATTTCACACGCCTTCCCCCCTTGCCTTTCCTCTTAACTGTTTCACTCTCCGGTGGTTCTGATGATGCCTCGTTTCACTCTGGGAGAATGTTGCCAGGTAAACCTTCCCCAGGCATCAGGCCCAGATACCCGTACTCCCAAGTACAGTTGACGCCTGGGCACAATGAGCCTTATGGGATATGTGCCTCCTCTCAAGTTTCACGCAGTGTCCAGAGCACGGGCGTCACATCGTTAAAGCTGCAGCCATGTCCAGGGACCGAGGGACTGGTACGTGTGAGGGCTTGTGGCAGGGCGCCCCTCGCAGGCGGAAAACCCGGCTGCCGCCCAGCTTCTGCCCCCACGCAGACCTCCCAGGGCCAGGCATCCGGTTTTGTGGCTGGCGGTCCTCAGCAGCTCCTACCTGCTTCAGGAGGCTGACCTTGACCGTGAGGAAGAGCCCTCTCCACCCTTTTCCCTGGTGGCCACGTTCAAGGGCTCCCAGTTATGGCCCTGCGACAGTGCATGTAAACAAACCATGTCACTCTCGAACCAGGAACCCAGGGAAGTGCCTTTCCTTGTTCCGTTCTGTTCTCCTCGCTCCTCTGTCTCTTCCCGTCCTTGCTTCTGGCCCAGGGGCGCTGGCTTCAGGGCACAGTGCTGTTGCTGGGAGCCGGCAGAGCCATCTTTGGGTTTTCTGCTCCGCAGCCTCTGAGTCAGGCTCCCTCCCTCTTATGTTTCAGTCAATTCTTCCCGGACTATCCTGGATGCCAGTGAAGAATTTAAGTCCATGTCGGGGACCATCCAGCTGGGACGGAAGCTCATCACAAAATACAATCGCCGGGAGCTGACAGACAAGCTTCTGATCTTCCTCGCGCTGGCCCTTTTCCTCGCTACGGTTCTCTATATTGTGAAAAAGCGGCTCTTTCCGTTTTTATAAGATCCTAGAGCGGCCAGCTTTTGTCTTGTAAGCTCCAGCATCAGGATCCAGCCGAGCTTCCGAGCTCTGGCCCAGGTTCCAGCTGATCTGCGCCCCCGTCGGCTCCAGCTGCCCAGCGGGTCGGATGGAGACGGCCCCCAGGCTTTTGCAGGTGGCTGCCTTGTAGAGGGCGAGCAGAGCAAGGGGAGGAAAACCTGTCATCAGGACGCCTACAGGGACACTGACCCACGAGCCATCACCCGCTGCAGGTGGCTGCCACGCGGGGCACTCAGAGACCACCCTCCCGGATTTGATGCTTCTCCCCTCTCTCCCTCTCCTGCTGTGGCCTTCATGCCAGTCTGGTGGAGGGAAGAGGGGGCGAGGCAAGAAGGATGATGAAAGCTCATGTCCATTCCCTGAATAAACTTGACTATTTAATAGAGTGGACTGCGTGTGGTTTTACGAGGTATCGCTCTGGCTGTTTGTGTGCTTCTGTTTTTGATATCCAGATTTTCTAGGACGTGAACTTAAATCATTTATTCGTTCATCCAACAAAGAAGTGAGAAGCCACAGCCACATGCTGACTGTTACAGATAGGTCGGTAAAGCAGCCGTGGTCCGTCCCTCAACGAGCAAGAAGAACGTCTTCTGGGGCGCTAAGGAAGGAGCGTGCGAACAGCCCCCACTGCAGGTGGCTCGCCCGACACGTGTAAAGGCTGAGCGGACAGCAGCCTGGCCTGGCGCAGGGTGTGCGGCGTCTCGGGGCCTGGCCCACGCCTTTCTTTTGGAGATCAGTGCTAAATATAACCAAGGAGAGCGACGCTGGTGATAAGCTGAGGCCTGTCAGGGCCCGAGTTCTGTTGAGGCCAAGGGGGTAGGGCCCAGGAGAGGCCCGGCCAGAGGTGTCCGTGTCTCTGTGCCATGGTCCTGGCTCACGTCGCCCAGGAATCCCAGCCTCCCCCACTATTTATAGCCCCAGGGGCCCTGGGAGGGGTCATGTGGGAGCTGAGGGGAAAGTGGAAAGAGCGTGGGCTGTGAAGCATAGTTCTGAGAGTTGGTTTTGAGAGTTTGGTCTACTACTAATGGGCCACGTGATCATGGGCTACTTACCTTCTGTCGCTAAGCCTCAGCCTGTGCAGCGGGGGACGATGGTCGGTACAGATGATCACAGAGTCAGAGGAGAACAAGTAGCAAGTGCAGCTTCGTCTGACTGGGCAGTGGGTTTCCTGCAGCACACAGCAGGGGCGGTAAGGAAAGCTGCCCCGGGCATCGGGCTTCTGTTTAGATCTGTCTGAGCAGAGGGAGGCAACCGCTAAGTGCCAGACGGACAGTCACGGGACCGAGTTAGGAGCTTGGCTGCATACCTCAGACTAACGAGTTTAATGAGTAGAGTCTGCATTAAAGTGTGTGCCTGTAGATACACTTAGATATCTAGCATCATCAAACAATTTCTGGCCCCAGAAGACGTGCAAATCGGGCATGCATGTGTCTTATTTATAGTCAAATTAAAGCTGAGAATAAAGCACAGATGGAAAATTCCCGCTCGGATTCCAGCTGTAAGGGCAGCAGATGGATGTTATCAAGTTAGGATTTTCCTGTCTTAACATTTTTCTTTACAGTTTCCCGTTAATTGTCAACATCCTCCTCACAATATGGAAATGTGTGGGCTCCGTACGCCTTTGAAATTCTCCCTTTGACACTTTATTCCTCGGTTACTCGTCTCCTTCTGAAAATAGTGTTGAATTTGACCCATTCCGAAATGTCATCGGTAACATTTATTTTACAATCCCAAATCCGCTGCGGGGGTTAGAAGGCCTCCCAAGCGGGCTGGCTGTGCAGGAAGCCGCCATCTCCACGTTCAACCGGGAGGGGGCAGTGTTCACATTCGCTCTGTGGTCTTGCTGAATATGTGCCCAAGTCCCTCAGTCTACACGAAAAGCCCTTATGGATTTTTTTTTTTAAAAAAACGGATACCAGGTTCTTAAAAAATATATATAAAGCCTACTTATCTATCTTGGGAAGACATTTCACAAGTGACTAATTTTCACTGCTAAACAGTAAGACAAGCTTGTATTCTACATTTTAATTAGCCGACAGTCAAGGAATTAAAAGTAGAGAGCAGCTGTCAAGACATCTTTCACTCAAGTATTTACTCAGCGCCATTTCGCACCAGGCACCAGGTTAGGGGTACACAGCGAACAAGACGAAAATGCCCTGTGGTCACGGAACTCACAGCATGTCGCGGAGGCAGGCCGATGGCACCCAACACCCAGTAAGTCATTCACTGTGTTAGAAAATAAGTGTTTTGGGGGAAAAATGGAGCCGGCGATGGAGCTCTGGGATGCAGGCGTGGTCATTAAGTCAAGTGGTCAGAGCTGGCCTCGCTGAGGAGATGAGGTTTGGACAGCCAAGGGGAGAGGGACCAGCTAAAGCAAAGGCCTGTGGTGGAAGCGTCTGTGATACTGGGATTTATAATAGGAAACATGCATTTGGTCTTAGTCCTGTCCCCGGCACAGGGCTCCTAAAACCCTTGGAATTTTTCATGAGGAGAGTGATAGATGTGTATTTTGTTAGGTCACTTTTGGGCACTGCCCACCCCCCACCCAGGACAGGGGCTGGTTTCCTGCGAAGCCAACCTTGCGATCACAGGGTTGGAACTTGCAAATTCCCCCTCTGACCTGTGGGGAGGGGAGAGGGATGAAGATGGGGTATAATCACCCACGACCCGATTCGATCACTCATGCTTTTGTAACGAAGGCTCCATAAGACCCCAGAAGGACAGGGTTCTGAGAGCCGGGTTGGTGAACACATGAAGCAGGGCGGGTATCAGGAGAGAGCCCAGAGGGGCGTAGAAGCTCCATGGCCCTTCCTCACACCTTGTCCCAGGCATCTCTTCCATCTGTCTGTTCCTGAGTCACGTCCTTTGATAATAAACCAGTGATCTAGCAAGTAATATCTCTGAGTTCTATAAGCCGCTCTAGCAAATTGAACCCAAGAAGGGGCTCATGGGAACCTCCGATCTATAGCCTGTTGGTCAGAAGCACAGGTGACAACCTGGACTTCTGGTTGGATTCTGAAGTGGAGAGAAGGGGCCGTCTTGTGGGACCGAGCCCTTAACCTGTGGGATCTGCCACCATCTCCAGACAGTGTCAGAATTGAGTCGCATTGTAGGACACCCAGCTGGTGTCAAGAGACTTGCTTGGAGATTTGGAAAAAACCCACACGTTACGACTGGGTGCAGAACTGGAGCATGACCGGTACCTTTGGGGGATAGCAAGGAGGCCAGTGTGGCTAGAGCAGAGATGGGGGACAAAGTCCTGGAAGGCCAGGGAGGTCACTTGAAGGATTGGTTTTGTACTCTGAGTGACATTGGGAACCCTAGGAGGGCTTTGAGCAGAGTGGCTTGATTCGACTTATGGGCTGATAAGAGACGAGTTAGGACAATTGCAGCTGTCCAGGTGGCAGATGATGGTGGCTTGTACCTTGGCTGATAAGCAGTAGAGCTGGAGAGAGGTGGTCATATTCTAGATATATTTTGAAGCTAGAACCAACTGGATAGGGTTTTCTGAAGGGATGAACATCATTCTTAAAGGAATAAAAGCAAGAAACAAGATTTTTGGTTTAAGCAACCAAAGGAGGAAGAAGATCAGGAGTTAGGTTTTGGACGCATTGCATTTGAGATGCCTTAGACACCCAGGTCAAGATGAGAAGTAGGCAGGTGGCCATGTAACTCTGGAGTTTGGGAGACCAGTCAGGGCTAGAGGTACGAATGTGGAACTCTCTGGCACATAGGTGGAAATTAAAGCCAT